TCGTGGACACAGCTGGCCTCGCTGAGCCCGGGACAGGAACTGTGCACAGCGTAGACAGACATGCTGGGATGTTCAATGAGAAGGTTTTCCATAGGACTTGTCTCCACCTTGACAGTGGTTAATCCACCTGCTGTAAAACACGGGGGAGGGGTGATGAACCAGCTCTCCTCCATGGGGCAGGACTCAAACTGGAGGAAGCAGGAATCACTGGTGTCAGCCAAACACTCCAGAGATGCAGGTAAACAGGAGAAGACTGACGTGTGCTCTGTTGGAGACTCTTCGCTGATGTCATCATCTTCCTCCTCCTCTTCCTCTGCTGAGAAGCCAGTGCACGTGTCTAGATTGTGATCCACATTGCACAGGGGAGTGGAGCAGTCAGTTGTGGAGCCATCCATCCAGTTCATGACAGAACAAAGGACAACATTATGTTAACAGATGCTCACAAAGGAAGCTTTGCTTGTAACAATTTATAAGTTAATTTCCAACCCGTCTGTGTATAGTAATACTGGCATTAAGGAATGGCTTTAGGATCTTCTGTTCTGGCAAATAAACAAATTATGTGCTCCATGGGTTCCTGCTGCTCATGAGGGTTTCCCATTGAAGGGCTCTGCGTGGATCAGGCTTTAAGAGCTGCAAAACTGGAAAGCCTGGCGTCAGTCGGTTTCACTGACTGGAGTTTCTAGAGCTGGCCTTATTTATTTACTTTTAAACCTTAAAGATTACATCCAGGAGCTCACATTTTCTGTGCATATATGTATACATTCGTGTTTGTGCACAAGATGGTGTTGGGGGGGTATGTGCAGAGAAGCACCCTACTGACTGAGCCACACACAGGTACCCGCAGCCCCAGGAGTTTTCTGGTTTGAGCCAGGTGTGGTGGTATGTGCCTACGATTGTAATGATTGGGAAATGAAGGCAGGGATCAGGAGGCTATCCTTAGCGACATGGCTGGCTGGAAGCCATTTGTGCTGTGGTGGTCGACTGTTGAGTATACCTTACCTATGAAGTCAACAAGGATCCATTCGTCATCTTCTTTCTCACGGAATTCTGGCTCTTGGTTGGGAGAAGAAGTGACTTCACCCACAAACATTTTGTTCAGTCTCTGAAACATCATTAAGGCAAGATTGAGACTTTGGCT